CTTCCTTCCTTCCTTCCTTCCTTCCTTCCTTCCTTCCTTCCTTCCTTTTATCTACACATGGCTTCAGCTAGGATTGTGGAAGGTTTGAAAAAGCGTATTTCACTCTTTTAAGCAACTAAGAATCTTTAAGGAATTATAGTAGTGATTATCTGGAAGATAATTGTGTTCTCTGAAATACCTCATTTCTTGTATTCTCATGCACATGTTGTAAATATCCCCAATAGAACATAAGCCCTTTGAAGGCAGAGATGGGTTAGATTTTATATTTGTATCTCTAGCACCCATACAACATCAAATACATAGCAAGGGCTTAATAAATACTTACTGATTGATTAATTCCTACCAAAACTTTAAATTCAGTAAACACTTTCAAGAAAAAAAATGAGCATTTTGTTTCATAAATAGTTTGATGTTTCGGGGTTATGGCATAGAATTAAAACTCAATAGTGGAGAGACCTTATGAGTTTTATAATTTTAGAAGAAAAATTTATAGCACCATTTCTACATAAGGATTTTTAAAACATTTTAGGACAGAAGGTTTTCTCTGTGGATCATAGGATGCTGAACTTCCAAGTAGTTTATCCATTTATAGAATGACGCACAAGACCTATATAAGTTGAATAACTATTTAGGGGGAAAGGCAAGAACCAGTCAATCAGAGAATAAGCATCTCAGAGTTAGAAGGGACCTCCAAGACAATCTAGTGCGAGTCCTATCTGAACAAATATCCCTTTCCAAGCATGTAGTTGACAAGTGGCCATCTAGCTCTTGCTTGAAGACTTCCAGTGAAGGGAAACACGTGTTCTCTTCTTGAGGCGGCCCTTCAACTTGTGGAGAGCTCATATTGTAGCAAGTATTCCCTTAGTCATCCTGTCATGGGTATGATTATCATAGCACAGATTTTAGAGGTGGAAAAGACCTTAAATGTCAGGCACTCCAACTTACTCTTTTTTAAACAGAGGAGGAAATCGAGGCACAGAGAAGTAGAATGATTTAGTCTACATTGCTCAAGTTTGTATCCTTATTCTAATCACTGCACAACATTAAGTCCCAGATCTCTTCCATAAGGTGATGGATTAAACGGAACCCTTTGCCTTTTGTTCAATCACCAGAGGAAATCCATCCCCTTCTTTGTGCTAAAGCAAAGGTGGGGCAGTTGTGTATTGCAATTAGATTTCAGGTTTCTCAAAGGGACTTCTAACTACAGATTGCCAGAGTATGTAATGTTTATTACAGATTTAAACTTGGCCAAACAATAGTCTCCAGGCTTTCTATCAGCATAGGCATCATAACCCAGTAACTTAACATAGAGCTTTGCACTTAATAGGTTTGTTATGCACTTAAATCCAATTCACTTGAAAGTCAAAATATTGCCCTCATGATGTTGTTGGACCTCTTCAAGAACAACCAACCAACCAACTGAATTCAGGAAAGCAAGTGAGCACTGCTAGGATCTATTTTGGTTTGGGGAAAGGAGACTCAAGTCTAAATCATTAGATCCAGAATGCAGGGAATGTTCTTCTAACACATAGAAAATGATGGATTATTTTTGTTTGCAGAGCACAGTGCTCATAGCTTGGAACAGTACAAAGATGAAATAATACTTGACCCCTGTGCTCAGAGATCCCACACAGTAGTAGAAGGCACTGTGTTATGGGAACATGCCCTTCATTTGGATGTTGATAAGTTATTTAGGGAGATCACTGAATTCTCTCCACACCAAAATATATCCTGGCAGTGCTTGTTATTTTCCTGATGCCTGAATTCAATTAAACAAATCCTTTGGTTAGGTGGGAACTCTCCCTGTCACTCAAGCAGAGCTGCCACACTCCTCTAACTAACAGCCTTAGAGAGTTATTGATCTGGAAGATGATTTGCACACCTGGTAGGTTTCAGACACTTACCTTGAACCAAGTCTTCGTACCTCAAGGCCAGCCCTGCTTCCACTCCCTGCCAGAGACTCTTATTTACATGGGGCTTGGAAAGGAAGTTTTCTTACAAAACACTGAAAGGTACACGGGAGGAGCTTAATAAATGTTTATCGAATTTGAATGCAGCTATTTCAAGTATGTTGTTGGGGCCCTTATTGGAATGAAGATTGTGTTAAAGACTGGCTTTTCATCATGGTTTAGGACAGATTTCTCTTTCAAGTCCAGATCTTGCCATGTGGGTATCTCTTTGCCAAGAATGGTTTTTGATCCTGAATGCCAAATGCTGCCTTTGGTTTTGAAGTAGAAACTTGGTACTGATCATGAATCACTTATTAGAATATTAGACTCAGGGAATAGATTATTACAACTGAAAACTCTGGACATTCCCAAGATAACATTAGGATAGATTTGGTGAGATCCCTTGGTAGTCTTTGGGTTTTTATTATCAGTGCTATTATTGATCTCGGTCAGGTCTGTCTTTACAAATCTAATTATGTCTTAAATTAACAAGTGTTCTATTGTTCCTGTTAGAAAAATAAATGGGAATTGACATAATCCTTACTCAAATTCCAAAGGCACTGTTCTTGCTAAAGCTCAGGCATGGTAGTGAATTTGATCACATACTCATTGTTAGCTTCTTAGAGAGCAGTTTAGCAAGAAATGGAAAGAAATAATTTGCCAATAGATGAGAAAGAAGTCTGTGATTTCCCCTATGGATATTATTGGTTCTGTCTACCTGATCTTGGGTTATAGACTTCATGCCTGAATTTTGACTGCTCCTTTTCAGAATCTTCATTTTGGTATGTTTTTTTTTTTCTATGTCTATATTAGGAAGAGAAATTGGACCTGTTATTTCATTAGCATAGGGAACTTTGCTGATTTCGGTCGGCACTTTCTCTGCCACTTAGAGTTTTAGAACAGTTCCTGGCACAAAGCAGGTCCTTAATAACTGTTTTTTGATTGATTGGTGAACTGCCAAGAGATTAAGTGACTTGTCCAAGGCCACACAGACAATAAATATCAGACGTGAGACTTGAACTGGATCTTCCTGGCTCCAAGTCTCATGGTCTGTCCACTAAGCCACGTCGTCTCTCCTATATGATACCAAGGGAAGTCTTCTTGGTATTCAACTGCCTACCCCCAGTCAGAAGATTCATCCAAAAGTCTTTCATTCCCAGATGTCTCCATTTTGTATTAACTACTAAGAACTGATTACTTCTTTTGCCCTAATTTTGACCTCCTGTGAAAGGCTGCTTAGGTAGAAATGCAAAAGAATATTTAGAAGGAAAGATATAATTATTAGTTTTTGAGAAAGGGATCCTGTTAGGCCCTATGAAATGATTCCTCTGGCCCTTAAAGGCATTGGTTTTTTTTTTCATGCCTGTCTTAGTGCTTCATAAATGTTTTTAATTTAATTGAATTAATATAATTGTTTTCCTTTTTTTGTTTTCAAAACATTGTTTTAAGATTGGTGGGTTCTATGAGCAGCTAGGTGGTGCAGTGGATAGAGCACTGGCCTTGAAGTTAGGAGGACCTGAGTTCAAATTCAGCCTCAGACCAAACACTTGACACTTACTAACTGTGTGACCCTGGGCAAGTCACTTAAGCCCAGTTGCCTTAAAAAAAAATAGAAAAAGAAATTGATGGGTTCTACAAAGAAACTTCCTGTGAATGAGTTTTACCTTCTCCCATTCTGACTTGCCCTGATACTCTGAGAAGACAGAGCACTGGACCTGGAGTCAGGAAGTCCTGAGTTCAAATCCAGCCTCAGACATTTGCTGTAAGTGTGACTCTGGGCAAGTCATTCAATTGCTATCTGCCTTGGTTTCCTCATCTGTAAAATGGGGATATCAAAATCCCAGGATTGTTATGAGGATCAAATGGGATGATATTTGTAAAGTGCTTTGCAAACTTTCGAGTACCATATAAATGCTAGCTATTATGATTATGATGATAACAGTGGTGGAAAGAGCGGCTTTTGAGCTGGAGAACTGGGGGATCCTCATCCTAGCTCAGCTTCATGATAGCTGGCAGAGTTTGGGTAACAGTTAGAAGACTTATATCTGATGAGACTTTAAAGATCATTTAGTCCAGGAAACCAAGGTAGGTATTAGGGACAGGGCACAGCTACGATCACATATATTAGAAGAAGGAGAGCTGGGCTTTGAACCCATAGTTTACTTGTTGAACTTTAGAGCTGATATTTACTTGTAGATCTTAAAGCCTTAGAAACAGGGTGGAGTGCCCCACTAAAGTGGGGCACCTGTGGCTAGACTTTGGAGGATCTTGAATATCATTCGAAGGAGTTTAATTTTTTTATCTGGCAGGGAAAGGAATAAGCATTTATAATTTTATATATATATATATATATATATATATATTAACACTATTTTCAGGCATGACGCTAAGCACTTTAGAAACATTATCTCATTTGCTCCTCACAATAACCCTGAGGCAGACAAAAGTTAAATGATTTGCCCAGGGTTGTACAATTAGTAAGTTGTCTGAGGCTGGATTTGAACTCTGGTTTTCCTGACCCTAGGTTTAGCTCTCTATCCAGTACTCCACCAGCTTTCTCTGAGTAGACAGTAGAGAGCTACCATAGCTATTTTGAGCAGAGGAGTGATACCATTAATAATCATTTCTTTGTCCTTAGGCTCATGTTGTGGTCCTTCCAAACACAATGCTAATCTTTTTTCTTTTCACTGACAGGAAGAAGAGGAAATGAGGATTTTGGAGATATTGAAAGCAAGTTTGCACTGAGGACCCCAGAAGAAATCACAGAAGATAGGTGCCACCTTGTTCCTGGGGACATCAATTCAGTGCGTGACTGTAACTTCAATCATAGCAGCAAAACCTTTGTGGTGATTCATGGATGGACGGTAAGAGAGCATGCCTAAGGAAAGGGCTGTCCTGAGCTGCTACAACCCCAGAGTCAGAAGTAAATAACCAAAAAAGCATGCTGTTTTGTGAACACTGTGATGTATTCCAAGTATGTGCTAATTGCACCCTTCACATGCTCATAAATTTGCTCCGAAAAAGGGAATAAGCACTTTAATTTGCCAGACTCTAATATTTGCTTGTTTGGTTTTTGCTCATTCAAGATGTCTGGTCATTTCATTGCCGATTTAAAAAAGACTTTTATGTGATGATCTCTTATTATGTTATGAGACAATCCCTCCATAATTTCAAGGGCTATGGTCCTTGAAATTGATACTAAAAGGTTATGAGGAAAATAGAGCCAGGAGAGCGAACAAATTTCGGTCTCGTCACCTTTTCTTTCACTATAGAACTTCAGAACCTTTCCAATAAACACAAATTGAATGTTATAATAATTTTTGTGTGAGTAACAGAGAATGGTCAACACAGTCCACAAATATGCTACGTTTATCATCCGACCATAAAACATCTTGTTAACAAGATAAACTACATTTTTATTATAAAATATTTTGTTAAATATGAACATGTACCTTGAGTTAGTTTTAGGTAGAAGAATCTCTGATGTTTAGAAATTCATCTCATTGAATTGACAGAAACTGCTTTTAGTGTGTATCCAAACAAGTTGAGCACTGGGCCTGGGAGTCTGGAGCCACTTAACTTGCTGTCCCTTGGCTTCTTCATCTGTAAAACAAAGGGATTGCAAAAAATAATGTAGGGATTGTCTGTTGTTCAGTCATGTCAGACTTTTTGTGACCCTATGGACCATACTGTCCATGGGGGCTTGTTTGTCAAATGGTTTGCAATTTCCTTCTCTAGTAGATTAAGGCAGAGGGTCAATTAGTCAATCAACAAATATTTAATTAAATCTTTACTATGTGTTAGGTGGCACAGTGAATAGTATCAGGCCTGAAGTCATGAAGATTCATCTTCCTGAGTTCAAATCCAGCCTCAGACACTTACTAGCTGTGTGACCCTGGGCAAGTCCCTTCACCCTGGTGGTCTCAGTTTCTTCATCTGTAAAATGAGCTGGAGAAGGAAATGGCAAACCACTCCAGTATCTTTGCCAAGAAGACCCCAAATGGGGTCAGGTACGACTGAACGACAACAACAATGAGCCACTACTTGCATGATTATGTGACCTTAAGATTGGATTGATTATTATTCCATTGATTTCATTATTCAGTCGTTTTCAGTCATGTCCAACTCTTCATGCCCGTTTTGGGGTTTTCTTTGGCAAAGATACTGAAGTTGCAAACAGGGTTAAATAACTTTCCCAGGGTCACCCAACTAGTAACTGTCAGAGAATGGTTTTAAACTCAGGTCTTCCTGACTCCAGACCCATTGCTCTATCCACTATTCGACCTCACTGCCCATTCCATTGATAAAGGTATCTATATCAGACGCCTTGGGCATGGGAGATTTCTGGTGAGTTGCTTACTATTTACTGGTTACCTGATCTGAAAAGGTGGATTGTTTCAAGGAACCTGTTGCACCTGGGGTCACTCGCAGACAGGATTCTCCTGCCAGACTTGTCACTTGCACAAAGGGAAACTGCTTTTTCTGCAAAGCAGGGAATTGAAGGGGTCTTGCAGCCCTATCATGCAGAAGCTGAAAGAATGCTTAGTATGTAGCACACACACAACCAAGCACAGAAAGCCCTTTAGAAGCAGCTGTATTGGAGCCCGGCCACTTGCCTGGATTCTGCTTGACAAGCACTAAAGTACAGGGACCTCTTTGTGAAGGATGCAGCTCTCATCCCCTTTGGGAGTGATTAACCTTGCATTCTGCAAGTCTGACATCATCCCCTCCTGAATGGCAGCTTTGCTGTGGAGGGTACCACTGCACCATCTGAGAGGAAGACTGAGGACAAGGGAGGGGCAGGCCTATTAAACTAAGCTGAAGAAGCCCGAGGTGCTCACTCAGAGGGAATGCAAAGAAAAATAAGCAGCAGATTGCCAAGAGAGGGTTCAACAAGATTTCTATTGGTCCCTAAGTAACACTGGGTTATGCAACTATTCTTAGTTCTTTATCTCTTTTGGGTCTCAGTTTTTGATCTGTAAAATAAGGGGGCCTGTATTGGATGACCTGTAATGAATCTTCAGCTCTAAAACTATGATATTATTATGCTAGCAGCCCTGTGAGTTAGATATGGCATGTTTTATTACCTCCATTTTACAGTTGAGAAAATTGAGACTCAGAGGGATGAAGTGACTTGTTTCAGGTCACATGGGTCCATTTAGTGGCAGAGATGGTTCTAGAACCCAACTTTCTTGATTCCTTTAAGAATTGATTGTATTACAGGAAAAAATGAAAGCCATTTTAGTGTGATATAAGCCAGTCCCACGAGGTACCAACCGATACCAGCGGATTCCCTTTGTTCAAGAGTTAGAGATCATCATTTTACCTGGTTCCTACACTGACAAACATCTCTTGCTTATTTTTAGGGAGTAACTTTTAGGGTGATTTCCACCTCATACTTAACGGATGCTCAGTACTGTTGAACTGAACCGAATTTGGTCCCATAATAGATTAACCTAGTCTGGGCTGTGTGGAGGGTAGGATGAGGAAGAAAAGTAGAGAATTATCAGATAATCATATTAAAAATTATAGAAATGAATAAAACAATCTAATGAAGCATTTCCAATTGGCAAGGTTACTAATTTTTACAAAGTGAATTAAACCAATTTTGAAGATAACATAATGCAATCAGACCTCATTAATTTGGACCTGAGATGATCATTCTAATTAAGGCTGAGTGAAGATTTACCTGGGAAAAAAAGACTGGCTTGACTAAGTAGGAGAGCACAATGTGCTTGGCACAGTGTCATTGCCATCTGCCTTTGTGAGGAACCCCAGGCCCCCCACCACAATAGGCTCCCACATCCATTTCTAGTCTTCTTTCATACTTGTCCTCTTCACAAACAGGTAGATTCCAGCTAGATTGGAAATGCCATCCTTTGGCTCTCTGCATTCGCACTAATCTGGTATATCCTGCCTCCTCATCCCTACCTTTCAGAATGCTTTTCTTCCTTCAAGTTACGATGCAGGTGCCATCTCTTCTGTCCTGTTTTGCCAAGTTTCTCGTGTTCCCTCTCTTCTCAATTTCCCTCATCCTGTACTCATTTGGGTAGACATCTTAACTCTCCAATAGAATATAAGCTCCATAAAGCAGTGGATAGAGTTCTGGGCCTGGAGTCAGGTTAATCTGAGTTCAAATCCAGCCTCAGGCATTTACTAGCTGTGTGACCCTGGGCGAGTCACTTAGACTCAATTTGCCTTAATTTCTTCAAATGTAAAATGGAAATAATAACTATCTACTTTGCAGGGTTGTTGTGAGGATCAAAATGAGATAATATTTGTAAAAAGTGCTTAGCATGGTGCCTGCCACATAGTAGGTGCTTTATAAATACTTATTCCTTTCCCCCATCCCTGTCGTGTATTTGTTTCTGCATCCCCAGGGCTCCACACAACATCTTGCTTACACTAGGGCTTAATAAATCTTTGTTGGGCTGAATTGAAGAGTATCATCACATTTGTTTATTAAGTGACTGGGCTTTCCTGTTACTGATTCCCTCTTTTCCTTCTACTACACTATGATGGAGCCATTATCTCACTGATTTCAGTCATCATTGTTATTTGTCCTTTGTTTTCAAAGAGGACCAATAAATATCACAGGTGATGGCTCGACTTGCACGTGATTTATGAGTGTGGCAGAGTGGCTCAGTCATCAGCCTCCCTCTCTTTTCCTGAGTTCAGTGGCAGGACAACAGTCAGGACCAGTGGCAATGGTGCAGGGTGCCATGGGTGACCTTGGCTTCTCTGATGTCTGGCCAAGCTCTAAGAGTTCCACAGTGCCTGCTTCAGCCGCCTTCATGACCATTGGAACAAGCTATTCTCATCCAACCATTCCACTGGGGGAAGTCTTCACATGCTGGGGGGAGACATCCCCTCCTAACTCACTGATGGATTTGAGGCCTGTTGGTCAGTTACCCCCAACCTGGTTTAGCCAGTGTACCAAGACAGTTTACCAGGGTATGGCTGCTGCGCGTGCTACGGCTTCCTGGAGTCACAAGGTTCCTTGATTTCAATACTGCCTCTGGTGATACAAATTGCAGCCCACCCAGACCTACTTGTTCTGTGGCACTGTTGGCCTCATCTTCTCAGAAATCTTCCACGGGGAGTCCACCCAATGTGATAGGGGACATCTTTGACATCTTTTGAATCTGGGTAGATAGCAATGGACCCCGTGGGCCATGGATAGCTTGAGCTACCCTTTTTGTTGATATTTTAAGAAAATATCATGTTAACCAGGTAGCCTTTGTTTTCTTTTCCAGGTGACAGGAATGTATGAGAGCTGGGTGCCCAAACTTGTGGGGGCTCTCTTCAAGAGGGAACCAGACTCCAATGTCATTGTAGTCGATTGGCTGATGAGAGCCCAGCAGCATTATCCAGTATCTGCTGGCTACACAAAGCTGGTGGGACAAGATGTCGCTAAATTTATCAACTGGCTGGCGGTAAGCATATATGAAAGAGTATAACATGGCGTACAGTTCTCTTGGTTATGGGTGCCAGAGCCGATCACTGGTCAGTGTTCCTTCTTCTTCACTTGTACATATACCCCTCAAGAGCAATTTAAATCTCTCTAAAAGTTCAAGTTTTCTGTCATCTTTCAGCCTTGTGAAACTATCTGATAAAAATGTAGTTCTGTCCTGCTCTGCCCTGCCCTGCCCAGTGTGCAGATTTGTTGAGACCAAGTAGGTGGAATAGGCAACCCGCCTACACAGAGTCATTTCAGGGACATAGAGAAGAACCTCCTATTGACCTCAACCCACACCCTATTCATTGACTTGATGCCTAAAATTCCATAGATAAAATTCAAATTCCCCTTGGGAAGGCAAGAGGGCCATTTTGTTTTCCTTCACAAATTTAACCTAAGGCTGGTCTTTGGCAGCCTTTCTGTCCTAAGCACCTTGGGATCAACAACATGTCAACATTCTGGAAAGGCCCAGGGTAGGACCAAACCAGTCAGGGTGGACAACTGGAGTCAGGAGAGGCCACAGAACATGAAGGAGAGTGAAAGGTTGAGAGTCAGGAGACTTGGGTGCTTGGGTTCCAGCCCTGCAACTAACTAGCTATGTGCCTTGGGCCAGGCATTTTCCCTCCATAGGCCTCAGTTTCTTCCCCTGTAAAAATTAAAGGTTGGACCATTGTTGGAAATGACAAGTAATTGGTCTAAACAAGAGAAGTGAAGAGGGAAAGGGCTTTAGGAGGAAGCCAGTTAAAGAGAAAAAAAAAAGGAAAGTTCAAAGCAGATATCAGCCAATGCTTCCTCAAATTTAGACAGCTCAGGGGGAAAGAATTAAACCCTACCTAACAAGAGCAGTTTTTAATCTCTTTCATCTGTGATATATAAAATTAAAAAGAATAGAACTCATTTGGAGTAATTCTCATTTTTTTTCCTCACTGCCATGTCTGTTCATGTCATGTTTCCTTTGGCTTTGAGATTTTATCAAGAGCTCTGGGAATTCATACTTTTTCCTTCTTCTTTGTCTAAAGGAGCAGTTCAACTACCCACTGGACAACGTTCATCTCTTAGGATACAGTCTTGGTGCCCATGCTGCTGGCATTGCAGGAAGTCTGACAAATAAGAAGGTTAACAGAATTACTGGTAAGGAGACACCCCTCTTTGATTGAGCCCCAAGTACAGGGATGGGAATCATTCTTTAGGAGAGTCAGAGCAATGTGGAGGCCAGGATCAGGTATTTTGGGGAGTGAAATGGGGAGGGCATGTTAAGGGTTGGGCAGAAACACTATTATAGCAGTGCTGTTTTAGATTGATGGACACGAGACATGGGTTGCCTTGCCTTGATTATCTTCTGTTGTGTATGGCCTTGACATGAAGCCAGGGAGTAAAAACTAACCAAAACATCAAAGGAGGAATGAAAACAAAAGTTTTTTAGTTGGGAGAGAGGGAGAAGATTGGAAGACGCAGCATTTGAATTGGGTTTTAAATTATGGGTAGGGCTTTGTTGTCCTGCTATAGGGACAAATGATAGATAAATTCTATTTTTAAATAGACATTGAGTCTATATTATTCAATTCAGAAAATATTTATTAAGTACTTAAAATGAACAGTTCACTTGAGTGAAACAACATGTGCACAGAAAAGTAAGTATTAGCAACTTCAAGGATTAAGAAAATATTTGAAAAGAAGGTAGGACCTAAGTGGAAGCTTGAAGGAAACTACCATTTCTGGAAGATAGAGGTGAGTAGGGGAGTGTGTTCCAGGCATGGGAGGTGGGGAGTGTGGAGAGGAAGGAACCATTTGTGGAAAAGCACAGAACTGGAAGACATACTGTCAAATTTGGGGCATGAGTAGTGGCAGAGGAGAAGCTAGAAGGGAATAAGTATTTAGCACCTCCTATGTGCTAGCACTGGACTAAGCAGTTTTCACAAATATTATCTCATTTGATCTTCACAACAACCTTATGAGGAAGGTATGGTTAATATCCCCATTTTATAGTTGAGGAAACTGAGGCAAACAGAAGTTAAGTGATTTGCCCAGAGTTACACAGTTGGTAGATCTCTGAGGCTAGATCTGAACTTAGGTCTTCCTGATTCTAGGCCCAGTGCTGTCTCCACTGTGCAACCAGCTGCCTCTAGATGAGAAAATTGAGGCCCAGAGAGGTTCATTGACTTTCCTGAGGTCCCACTGACAGCCAGGATTCCAGCCCAGGTCCTTTGACTGTACAACTAGTGCCCTCTACACTGCTGCCATTTAAATTTTAATTCTCAGATTCACCGTCGACTTTAATTGCAAAATAAAGCAATCTTAAGGAAAAAAAAAAACAGATTTGAGTAGTTGGTGACTCTTGGTTTTATCTCATTTAGGCTTAGATCCTGCTGGTCCTAATTTTGAATATGCTGAAGCTACCAGTCGCCTTTCTCCAGATGATGCCTATTTTGTAGATGTATTGCACACCTTCACTCGAGGATCGCCTGGCCGAAGTATCGGAATCCAGAAGCCAGTGGGGCACGTTGACATTTATCCTAATGGAGGCTTCTTTCAACCAGGATGTAATCTTTTTGATGCTATTAACCAAATTGCAACAAAAGGCCTGGGAGGTAAATGTCCACCAGAAGCAGATTAAGCCTATCTTTTATTTTTATTTTTATTTTTATTTCTTACCTTGGTGATGACAGTATCCTCCATATCTCCCAGAGAATGAGTTCCTTTGTTTATCCAGGGCCAGCCCAGATGAGATCAGATAGCTTTTTGAAGAATGCTTGCTTCTTCCAGTTTCTTGTACCCTCTACCAACCCTTATACTTAATGTGGCCACATGAGGGTCTTAACTAGATTCTGCACGGTGTGGAATCATAGAATATTAAACTAACAGGGATCACAGTGGCGAAGGAGGAAATAGAATTCTGGTTTTCCACCCCACTTTATTAAGTCCAATAGTCATTCATTGGCAGAGTTTATAATAATCTCCTTTCTTTGGATTCCTACCTCATGGACTCTCTCAACCTGCAACAATTACTGATTATATGCCCTCAGACAAGTCACTTAACTGATATGAATCTCACTTTACTCACCTGTAAAATGAAATTAATAACATCTACAATCACCTCCTTGAGTGCTATTGCTATGGGGAAAGGCTGTTGTTGTCTCTGGAGTGCTCAAGAGCAGTGGTGTCAAACTCTATGTAGAAACATGTCCTTGCTAGCTGCATGTTGAGTTAGAAAATCACAGATTAACATTACCTATATTGTATTGTATTTTTAAAATTTATTTTGTTAAATGTCTCCCAGTTACTCTTCAGTCTGGTTCTGCCACACTTAGGAGTTTTGGCATAAGAAGGAGGCAGAGTTTGATACCTCTGCATGGAGTTATATAACTGCACCATGCTCTGTTAAGCCTTGTGGGAACAGACATGAAGGATCTATGGTGTCTATGGTATAGGGAACTCCCAGTATGGGAACGCTCTACCAGCACAGATTACAGTCTAACTACTATTGAGTAGATTAGGCCTATTGGTCATTGCTCAATTGCACAGGTTGGTCTAGATGGCCTTTGAGGGCCCCTTAGCCTCTAAAATTCAGATTCTGAGTTGATGGTGGTACAGAGGATTGTCAAATCAACTGACACCCAGGGAGATTAAGTAACTTGCCCAAGGTCACACAGGTAATAAACAGCAAAGCCAGGGTTCAAACCCACATTCATTGATTCCAACTCCAGACTTCTTTCTGTTGCTGTACCTCAATCCTTACCCAACTAGAGGATGGCCTTACCCAGGGGCACACAGCTTGAAAGTTTCAGAAGCAAGATTTGAATCTAGGTCTTTCTGATGCCAAACTCACTACTCTAACCACTACCACACACTGTTTCTATTGCTAGCAATGTACTGAACAAAAAAAAAAAAATGGTGGGATCCTCCCTATGAAAGAATGGTAAATTCTGTAAAACTTACTTCTATCCTTGGATGAATGTTACTCTTCTTTCCTAAATTGAAATCTTGGGTTGGGCACTGAAAGTTGATGGATGTAGTCATGTAATCATGGGAGGGACCTTGAGGTCATCTTACACAGCACCACACATAAACAAATCTAGACATGTAAATGGATCACATGATATGTAGACTTTCTAGAGAGATTTTCTTTTCAAAGAGTATTTTTTTCCTTCATGATTTTCTTTTCTTTTCAAGATATGGATCAGCTGGTGAAATGCTCTCATGAAAGATCCATTCATCTCTTCATTGACTCCCTACTGAATGAAGAAAACCCAAGTAAGGCCTACCGCTGCAGTTCAAAGGAAGCCTTTGATAAGGGGCTGTGCCTGAGCTGTCGGAAGAACCGTTGCAACAATATGGGCTATGAGATCAATAAAGTGAGAGCCAAGAGAAGCAGCAAAATGTACCTGAAAACCCGTTCTGAGATGCCCTACAAAGGTAGGTTAGGACCTTCCTGAGAAATGATAGCATCAAGTCATCATCATCTCTTGCCCTCTTACTGAATTGTCCTTTACGTATATCAAACCCCATCAATAGGACATATGCCCTCTATCATCCTTCCATTAGGGTATAACATGAATTCTTGCTGAAATTTTAGCATTGACCCTTCTTTAGTGGAAACACAAAGCCAGCTTGCTGTCCTTCATGTGTCATTCCTTCCTATACTTGATAACCATTATTAAGTATATTCTCTCTCTCTCTCTGTCTCTCTGTCTCTCTGTCTCTCTGTCTCTTTCTCCCTTCCTCCCCTTCTCATTAGTACAATACCCTACATACAACTCATGTGGAATTCAACAAATATTTATTGTATGTTAGTGTACTCCCTTAAATAAACCCATTTTGAAACCCTTTTCCTTATAGGGGAATTTCCTCTCAAAAATTGGCCCCCATGCCTTCAAGGATCAAAGATTCAAAGCTAGAAGGGACCTGAGGAGTCATCTGATTCAGCCCACTAATTTTACAAATAAGAAAACTGAGACTAGAGAGGATAAATAACTGGCCCAAGGTCACACAGGTAGTAAATGTCCAAGCCAGTATTCGAACTCAGGTCATCTGACTCCAGATCCAACACTCTTTACCTATACCATGGTTGCCTCTTCATATTTTCCTTACCACATCACTGATAATCCAGACAGATGTGAATTCCATGTACATGCTGATAATTCTTTCCTATTTCATTATCAGTACTATGTTTGGTCTTATTCCAAGTTGTTGATTTGTGGGCTCCTCAAGAGGATTGAACTGGTAATTCTCTGTTTTCTTCCCATGCAGTCTTCCACTATCAGGTGAAGTTACATTTTCTTGGGACTGAAAGTTTGACTCAAACCAATCAGGTGTTGCTGCTCTCTCTGTATGGCACCATAGCAGAGAGTGAGGAAATCTCTGTCCCCCTGTAAGTAGCAACCTTTTTTAAAAATTTAAACTTGTTTCATATACGAATAAAGAATCCCCGAGAGCTCACTTGTGTAACTACAGGCCTGAGAAACAAAAATGTATTAGTAAACCAAGACATCCCAATTTCTGGTTCAAGAAACTAGAAGTCTTTGTCTCTGCTCTGTGTTGAGTTTGCTTATGTGGAACTCTTTTCCCCAATAGCTAGGAACTATTTTCTCTTTGTTACTTTACATATATTTCTTACCTTTATACAATAATATAGTTGATGTTTATCATTTTAAAGTATATAAAATGTTTTGCATATATTATCACATCTGAGACACAGCAATCTTGTAAGTTATTATTTTAGGTACTATTATCTCTGTTTTGCTGATGAATAAACTAAGGCTTATGCAATTGAAGTATAAAAATCTACATAAATATAAAATCTTAAAATATGCTGCCTGGCATACACCAAATGTAGTGGGTGTTCCCCATGAGTTTAGTAGGTCAGATGTCCCTATCTTTGAAGATGGATCCGAGAGCATGTGTTAACCCAACGTGTGCTGCACTTTTACTCAGGCCTGAAATGTCCACCAACCAGACTTACTCCTTCTTGATTTACACGGAGATAGACCTTGGAGAGCTACTCATGGTGAAACTGCAGTGGAAAAGCGATTCTTTCTTCAGCTGGTCTGACTGGTGGAGCAGCACTGGCTTTGGCATCCAGAAAATCAGAGTCAAAGCAGGAGAAACTCAGAAAAAGTAACTAACTTTAATCTTTTCGGACTTCATTTCAGACTCCCGTTAACTTTATTATGAAGAGAAAGGTGTTTAAGGGTTATCTACTCCATCATTTGCATTCATTCTAGGCAGATAGGCAGTCGATCCTGAAGGTGACCTGGAATAGTGACTTTATGGTCAAGAGACCTGCTTTTGAATCCTGGCTTTGTTATCCACTAGTCATGTGACCATGACTGGGCAAGTCACCTGAACTTTCTGGGCCTCCATTCTTCAACTATAGAATGAGGGTGTTGGGTGAGATGCCTAAGAATTCTTCTGGCTTGTGCTGTATGATCTTAGAGCCCAGGTATTCAGCATTTCTATAAATGGATCCGTTTTCATTAGAAATCCTTCTTAGAATAATTCCTTCATAAACATGCTGGGAAAGGGGTTGTATTTCCTGATTCCATACTTGAGTTTGGTACAGTAAGTCAATAGGAGAGTTGGACTCAGAAATCCCAAAGCCCTGATTCCCTGCTTGGTGCTCCTACTTTTTCTGGCACGTGATTCCTCGTAGACACTGCATGGAAAGATGGAGTCCAGTGACTTTCCCCTATATCTGGAATGGCTAGGGTAGGAAGCTAAATTTTTTACAATATTTCATCTAATTAGCAAACATTTTTCCATAAAGCTTTTGGAAGCTTTAGAGTAGCATAATTATCTCTGACAATTTCACTTTCAAATGAACTTGTGGTAGGATTTAAATGTTTTGGTTTTAAAAAAAAAAAAATTCACACCTGTGGTTTCATTAGAGGAGAGAACTTCTGGTGAGGAAATTCCCTCTACCAATATGAATCAGTACCCATTCTGCAGCTTGTAGTCTTCAAGAATTATATGGCTTACTGAGTGATTAAGTCAGACAACAAGCATTTATTAAATGCCTACTATATGTCAGGAATTGAGACACTTGAGATATAAAGAAAGGCAAAAAAAAAGTTTCTGATGTCAAGGAGCTCACAATTTAATGGAAGATCATGCAAATAACTATACAAAAAATATACATACAGGATCATTTGGAGATAATCAACAGAGGGAAGGCACTAGAATTAAGAGGGATGAGGAAAGGCTTCTTGTACATGGTAGAGTTTTAGCTGGGACTTGAAGGAAGCCAGGGAAGCCAGAAGGTAGTGAGCAGGAAGAAAACAATTAAAGGTCACTTGCTCAAGCTTATACAGCCAGAATGTGTCCAAGGTAGGACTTAAACTCAACTCTCAACCAAGATAACAAGAGGCCCCCCGCTCATGCTACGTGAAGATCAGTAGAAGCAATGTTTAGCCTAGAGAAGAATTGGCTGTATTTGGGTATTTGAAGGACTGTCACACAGGCGAGGAAACAGACTTGTTCTTCTTGTCCTGAGAGCAATGAATTAAAAGTAGTTGGTAGAAATTGCAAAGAAGCAAATGTTATATGTCAAGGGGGAAGAAACCCTTAATAACAATTACATTTTAAAATGGAATGGCCCACTTCAGGAGGTAGGAGGTGCCCCCCCACCCCTTTGTTGGAAGTCTTTAAACAAAGACCAGATGATTACTCATCAAATTTTTTTTTTGTTAGGCAATTGGGATTAAGTGACTTGCCTAGGGTCACACAGCTAGTAAGTGTCAAGTGTTTGGTCTGAGGCCGGATTTGAACTCAGGTCCTCCTGAATTCAGGGCCAGTGCTCTATCCACTGTGCCACCTAGCTGCTCCCTCATCAAATATTTCTGTTTAGCCATAGACTAAAGGCCTAGAATCCTCCATGCTGGCATTTAGTACTTCTACAATCTGCTTCATTTGTTGAGATAACCAAACTCAAATGAGAAAAAAACAAAAAAGGTCTATTGCCCAGATGATTGCTGATTATTGTGATGGTTGTAGAAACTGACTTGATTGGTTTTGGTTGATTTCCTTGCATGGAATTGATGAGGGTCCCATGGGTAGCATGTCCTCACCTCCTTTTTCTTTCATAGGGTCGTCTTCTGTTCTAGAGAAAAAATCTCCCATTTGAAGAAAGGAAAGGAATCTGTAGTATTTGTGAAATGCTATGACAAATCACTGAACAAAAAGGCTATCTGGTAAGTTCCAGAAAATATATTGCTGAGAATTTCCTTACATTTTGTAATCTATGAGGAGTTTTGTCTAACAGTACCCATTTCCCTGACCAAACTTCCCTCAGGAATTCTCTTTATTCGACCTCTCAAGGCCACCATAGCTTTTCAGTGATGGCAGTGATTTTGTTAATTTGTCCATGTTCCAAAATATTCTTACTAGTATTTAGTATTTCCTTCTCTACTGGACTGTATTTCACCCAATTCTTTTCTCGTTCTACTTTCCTTCTCTAGGACCATTTTCATAGATGTCTTTAAGAAAAAAATACTAATGTCTTTTACTCTACCAAATCCAAGGTGCTTTAGGAATACCCTTGGGTGGGGAGCAAGGCCCAGCTAATTTCCTTGTGAATGTGAATGGCTGATATTCAAATAGCATGTTAAAGAGGACCACAGCACCACATCTCACCAGCAACATCAAACTTGATGCTCTTGCCTCAAGTCACAGTGAAAGAAACAGGAATAGCCACCAAATCTCTTCTCCTAAACATCCAAAGATGGTGGAAGTGGTAGTACAGTGGTACCATAGAGAGTTCTTTGTTTTCTCTTTTTACTCCATTCCAAATTAAATTTTGGTTCTCCTTTATTTATCTTGAAGTACAATCTACATAAGAGTCATCAACAGAGTCTTTCCAGAAAGGACTTTCCATTTTAGGTACAGATAAATACATGACCTTCCTCAACAATGCTATTGAATTCCTGGCATAGACTATTTTCTTTTTTTCCTATCATTTTCTTAAGTCTAGACAATCAACAACAACAACAAAAAGAAATCAAGCCCTAATTTGTAGAGTTTTCCAATTTCTGATATGCAAATGCTCACACTGAAAATTTAACAATCAGCTTTCACAAGCCAGTATGAGTTGGCCCTAGCACACTTTTGGCACAGGTATGAAGGGGAGAGAGTATAGAGAATGTAACATAAACCAATAGCCTAACAAACAATGGGAAGTACCAGCCCCTCCTTAAAATTATCATTTTTCATCTGCTTTCCTTCTCCTTCTCTATTTATACAGAGAAAGAGAGTTGCATGCTGGTTAAAATAAGTTGCTGTAGCTGTCCCATATGCAGATAGGCATATCTGTCTTTGAATGGGTGGATCACATGGGTCAAAGAGCCTTTCAAAAACCACTATATCAATATGGATTGATAGTAATGCCAGTGACCTTGTTGAATTAGACAGATAAATTACATTCTTTTCAAAGTGGGAATGTGCCACTAGTATTACATCACTGATTGATTTATTCATTCACTCAACAAATATAATGAGTTCATTGTCTTGTTGATTCTGCTTATCATAGCCAGAGGTAACTTGATGTTTGCTTTTAAACAGCCTTAGATAGTTCTTCAAACTTGTCATCGGCCACATGGTCATTTGTAGAAAGATGCATTTTTCTGTAGGTTTCCACAAATGAGCCATGCTACACACATTTACATTTTTCTCTCAAGAATTACATATGACTATAAGAGTAGACATCTGTAGATGCTTGAAGAAAAAACAAGTAGGGGTGAATAAATGTTAGTTGAAAAGGCTATATTGTGTATCAGAAAGAACCATTGGGCTTTGGAGTCAGAGGAACAGAGGCTTCATCATAGAATCATAGATACAGAGTTATAAGGGGACTTTACAGAGCATCTAGTCTAAAATCCCCTCATCTTACAGATGAGAAAACTGAGACTAAGAGAATTTGCATGACTTTTTTTAGGACATATAGATGATAACTCAAAGAGCTGGGATTTGAACCTTGGTTGTCTGGCTCCCGAGCCAGCATGCTTTCTCTTGTATCTATCTGCTTTAGACTATTACCCATATAACTTTGGGCAGGTCCCTTAACTTCCTAAAATTAGTTTCCTTTTCTGTAAAAATGAATAGGCCAAATGAAGTTTTCTTTAATAATCTAAATCCAAGAGTAGAACAGATGCTATTTTCTAGTTATTTCCAGAGTATCAAGAATTGCTATGCTGAGCCCCAAGCATTATAGGCACTCTGGAGAGTTTGATGTTAGTAAAAATCCTATCTTATTTCTAGACCACTGAGGTTTAGATACATTAAAGACACCTCCACTGATGCATCTGAAGGTGAACTAGAAAGTAATTGAATCAAAATACCCCTCCCCGCAAAAAGCCTACATAAAATTACTTTGCATTTTAAGTTTCTAGTTTTCCACAACAACAGACCCACCTCACCACCAAGACTCACCACAAGTCTTATCTTCCAGTTTAGACAGAGAATTAGGCACTAACCATCGGTCCATGCATAAAGATGAGAAGTGCTTCCTAAATTTTTGCGTAAGTTAACAAGATGCCATTCTCTAAGAAGAGGTCTTTGATAGTAGGAACTTAACTGAAGGGCTGCAAGCCCTTTTTCTTTCCTGTGCTCTGGACTCATCACTCATTCATTGTACCCTTCTCCCCTCAGTTCATTTATTAAGGACCTGCTATGCGCAAGGTATTTTGCTAGGCATGGATTGGAATGGATAACACCACAGCTTGCTTTGAAGGAAGCCAGGGACCCTAAGAAGCAGTGGGGAGGAAGGAGAAGATTCTAGACATGGGGGACCATCTTTGCAAAAGTATGGAGGGGGAAATGTAATGATGTATAGACAGTAAATAGCAGATCAGTTTGACGGGCACAGAACATGTGTGAAAGGGAAATAGTATGAATAAGCCTTGAAAGGTAAATGGGAGCCATCTCCCATATAGCCTTTGAGCTGCACATTGTTTTATCCCAAGACAGAAAGTTGCAAAGCATTAACTTTTGCATCTCTTTTTGGACTTGTGATTTCTCCTGGGCTAGGGAGCTCTCAGTGAGGTGCTCTTACTAACAATACAGACTAACACTTGCTCTCAGATACTTGCCTGGGGGCATGTAGTAGTTAAATGACTTGCCATGGGTCACACAGCCAGTGTGTCAGAGGCAGGATCTGAACTCAGGTTTCTATGACTCCAATGCAATATCATTCTATCTACCACACCACACTATCTTTCTTGTCTAGCACGTATCAGGCACTTAAATATTTACAGAATGGAATAGCAAACAGGTCACTACTTGGGTAACCTTAAACTCCCTTTCTCTGGGCTTCAATTTTTGTCATCGGTAAAATGAGAGAATTAGACTAGATCATCTCTAATGCTGGTTCCAATTGTAAATTTATGGTTCTACTACTGAATATGACTGTAAGATCCCCCTTCTTTTGTTTTACAGAAACTGTACTAGCCTAAAGGAAGAAGAACTGTACTTATTCTGCAAGGAATGAAGCAAATGAAGAAAGCCGGATTTTAAACTAAGTCCTAATGCTTTGGGTGTTTGGAAGTGGATTCATCCAAGTATTTATGATGTCAGCTGTATTATTATCATTAGCTCTTTTTCCTTGTTAGTTATTAGAAGAGACAGTCTCAGAACATCCAAAAAACATCCACCCCCAAACAAAAACCAAAAACAGTATGTTTAATTTGAGGAATACGGTGGCCAAATAGCACTTGATCTTAGCTGAAAAAAGAGCCCATATTGTGAAAGACATGAAATCTGGACCACTGAGATAAAATATGAATTATGCCCTACGGTACTAGTCTGTTGTAAATTTTCCTTATATGACATATTTTGCTGTTTTCCAACATGAACACGGAGTAGAACCAAGGGTTTCCTGTGGTTTGCTCACAGCCGATTCAGACCCATCTGTTTGCCTGACTAAAAGTCCCCCTGCCCCCACCTTATTTGAAAGACTCTTGAAGGGACATGACTCATGAGACAACCAGGACTAAGTGAACATAGAGAGAGAATGACTAAGAATGTTAATTAAGAGAATACTGTACCTTTGAAAACTTCTCACATATCCATCTTCAGCCTGCACTCAAAGGACATCTCAAAAAGTCTGATTAGTTTATTTTTTATTGGGCTACTTGGTTTATCTTGAACAAAATATATACAAAATATATATGTGTGCATATATATGCATATATATGTATCTCCATGGATATATATTTGTCCAAATTTTATATTTTAGCATTAGACCATAAAGTGAGTCATTTTTGAAAATAACCAGTGAAGCCTCTGATGTCACCCAGAGCTTGAGTGTAGAAGGAAGATGGCAAGATTATTATGTTACCACCTTTTTTTTTTTTTTACAAAAGTGAAATTATTTAGAATATGATGGTTTTGTCCATTCTGATGCTGATTAGAGAGCATTAGATGAGAGCTATTTTCCAAAAATGCATTGGGTCAAGCACATCTCAATCAGCATTTTGGAAATAAATAAGAGCCTTAATAAAGATGAATCACTCTTTGTTCCTTGGTTCCAATGATGGAACCCAAATTGTCTTTGTGGTCTGTACTCACACAAATCTCTGAAAAGTCATTTTCCCTAAATTGTTCATTTCTAATTACAAGTAAAACTATTAAAAAGTGCTTTTTTTTTTTTTAAAGAAAATGCTCTGTATGAGAAAATGATGCTTCTGTATCACCATAGCCACCTACGAATGTCACCAAAGGTTTTTAAAATCATCAGCACAGAGTTAATAAACAATTATATATAAACTAGATCTCCTTTTTTTTCCCTAAAAAAGCTTTTGTGTACGATAAGAGAGAAAAGTCAAAAGTACAAATGGCTGCTGGGGGATTCATCCTATGAACCTTTCCCCTACACCTAGATAGATCTCCCCATAGGAGTTTATGTTTACCACTCTTATGATATGGCAGGTTAAAAAGAAGCTGATTCACTGAATGTCTTAGAATGGAGACGCTTTGAAAGTTGTAGAGTCTTAGGTCTCCATTTACCATCAGGCCTCAGTGATGTAGGTTAAGGCTGAAGTGGTTAAGAGTTGGTTTGGTTGGGATGAGTTCTCCACAAATAAGAGAGTGGGGTGGTTTGCTGCTGGCATTTGCCTTTACCACTAACCGACTAATTGGAGCAAAGCCTACTTTTTAGCAAAGACAAATAAATTTAATTTAGAACCTTTAGTCAACTGGTCTGCAGCACTTGGAACTCCAGCTTCTAAGGATGTCTATACATGCAAAATATGATTTGGCTGTAAATGTTATTTATTAGCTGTAAATATATGAGTGTGTGTGCGAGTGTGCATGTGTGTGTATGTAAAAGTAGTTTGTATATATTGATGAAAATATCAAGGCTATCTGCATTTATAAACACAAGGTGCTAACTTTGTAAATACTTTTTAATAGTGACATTGTCTCACTGAAGCAAATTTAGCCTTAAGAAATAATGCCGTAGACTGAGCTTTTCATTAAAGAGAACTTCTTAACTCTGTGAAAAAGTAAAACCTGCTTTTAATAAAAATGGACAAAATTCTACCATGGTGCAAGTCATTATTTTTCTTAATGTCATTCTACCTAGTGGGGGATTCATTGATTTGTAGAGCTGATTCCACTCATCCACATTTACCTAGTACCTTCTCTGTGTTCAGATATATCATGAAACTTAGCTTCCAAAAACCTGCCACAGTAATACACAATGCCTTCTCCAATATATGCTCCTCAAAACTACTGAGAAAAACCTTTAAGTTATCATGAAACCTAAGCCCAGCCTTTCCTTTATTTATAGAAAAGATTTTAAAAATTGGTATAATGTTCCTCTGAAATAAAAGGAATACAACCTCAGAAAGAGGTTTCTGGCACATTGACCTTCATGAGTATAAAGTGACAGCCCACTCAATTCAGCAAAAATCTAGTAAGCACCTACTATGTGCAAGGCAGAGGCAGCCAGATGGCTCAGTGGATAGAGTGCTGGGCCTGGAGTCAAGAAGACCTGTGTTCAAATCCAGACTCAGACACTAGCTGTGTGACCCTGGGCAAGTCACTTAATCTCATTTGCCTTGGAGATAACTAGGTGGCTCAGTAGATAGAGGCCAGGCCTGGAGTTAAGATCTGAGTTCAAATCTAGCTTCAGAAATTTATTAGCTATGTGACCCTGGGCAAGTCACTTAACCTCTGTTTGCCTTAATCCACTGGAGAAGGAAATGACAAACCACTCTAGTATCTTTGTCAAGAAAACCTCATGAACAGTGAGGTTCATAGGGTCATGAAGAGTCAGACATAACAACTGAACGACAAGAATGTGTAAGGCACTATATGTAAGTTTCTGGGAAACAGATAAAAACTATTAAGTTTCAGTCCTTGAGAAGCTCATATTCTACTGATGGATACAACATATGCACAATTAAATAAATAACAAGTAATTTCAATGGGGAGAAAGTATTAACAATTGGGGAAACCAGTTATGGGAGATAGTGCTTTGAAAGAGCCTAGGAATTCTTGAAGTTAGACGTGGGCAGCGTTTGCATCCCAAACGCGAGAGACCACCTGTATGTATAAAGGCAGGGAGGTAGCAAATCCATCCAACCAGACAGTGAGTGCATGCTGAGAACTCATATGAGACAGGACTAGGAAGGTCTAGAGGCAGGAACCATATCGTAGATAGCTTCTAGGCAACTGAAAGACTGTAAATTGCAGAGAAGATGCTGATTTACACTGAAAGAGTTTTATCATCCAGGAATTCCCTGTGTCAGTCAACTTACAGGTCCAGTCCCTATCCCTAGCTTTAAATTCCATGCTCAGGGTTGTGTCTTTTACTCCAGAGGTAATAGGGAGCCACTGAAAATTTCTGAGCAAGGAAGTGACATGGAGCTTTAGGCATATTAATCTGGTACCTTTGTGGGCAGAGAACAACTGAGAAGCTCCACAGTCCAGGCAGAAAAGGTGTTGACAAAGTGCCCTGGAGCAGAAGTCGTGGGAATGAAGAGAAGGAGCAGGTGTATGAGATGCAAGAGGTAAATATTGTGGAAGCAGAAGTGACAAGATTTGGTGGCTGATAACATGAGACAGTAGGGGGGATGCAGTGATGAAGATTCCAGAGGCAAGAATGACTGCAAAGGAAGAGAGCATTGTGTATAATGTGTCAATCACTCTCTGAAATACATTGTCTCTGCTTACCCAGATCCCTTCTCTCTGACCAATATCTTCCCTGTAATGCTGGTATTTCTATTGCCATGAAAACAACCAAATCTTTAAAACTAATTTTTAAAAAGCCAACCCAATGGGCCGTATTAACATCTGAAATGGTATTGAACACATAGCCCATGTGTCCAGTTGTATAGAAGTTAGTTGTTAAGGTATCCAGGAAATGTTCCTCTCACCCCCATCCAGAAAAGAGTTGTTTCGAAGGCCATGTTACAAAATTGGGCAGGAGTCTGCCTTTTCACAAATACAGAAAAAGAATTAAATCACAATCTCTTGCCTTCTTATGGAATCCTATTGGCCAAGGCTGTTCTTCTTAAATAAAGATGATATTACTTAACCAACATAATTAGGGCAGTTATTTTATTTGGGGGGGGCGGCACGGTGATGTAGTGGATAGAGTACTGGGCCTGAGTTCAGAATGGTACTAGCTGTGTGACCCTGGGCAAATCACTTTAACCCTGTTTGCCTCAGTTTCATCATCTGTAAAATGAGCTGGAGAAGGAAATGGCAAACCACTCCAGTATCTCTGCCAAGAAAACCCCAAATGGGATCACAAAGAGTTAAACATGAGTGAAAACAACTAAACAACAACAAATCTCATTGTTTTAATATTAATGTATAACCTAAATTCTTTCTGCTAAAAAATTAGCATTGACCTACCCTTAATGGAAACATAAAACATGTTTTTCCTCATGTGATAATCTTTCACACAGTGCCATGTGCTAAGAACACTTCTATCTCATCCTCTACCACACCCATCAATGTTAGGGATGAAGAAACCTGTTCAGAAGATCAGTCAGGAAGGTGACCCTAATTTTGGACCTCACACATACATACAAAAATAGAAATAGAGAAAAGAACACACATTAAAACAGGTTCTCACTATCTCTTATGGAAATTTGACCAGCATAATTTTATAATCACAAGGAGATCATAACTTCCTTAGTCAGAAAACACTTGATGTCTTTGTACAACAGAGACATAGCAGTGTGCAAAGGTGTCACTTCCCATGGGAAGTGTTTCCTGATCACTCTTGGCTGTTAGTACTCTCTCCTTAAAATTATCTTATTCCTAGCTATGGGTAAATCTTGTAGACTGTAAGATCCTTGAGGTCAGGGACTGTTTGTCAGTTTGGGTTCTTGTATCCCTATGCCATAGCACAATATCTCTCACATACTAAATCATAGGTGGAGAGCTGAAGGAGACTTTACAAGCCACCTAGTCTAGCTCTTCCATTTTATAGATGAGGAAACTGAGGCCCATAAAGGTTAAATGACAACCAAAGTTACCCAGGTAATAAGTGACAGATTTGGGATTTTAACACAGGTCCTCTGATTCTAAATCCAGGACCATGTTGCCTCCCTTATTTTCACTAACCTCTAATTGAAATCTAGCATTTCCTTTAATTAATAAAAAAGAAATTAGGGCAGCTAGGTGGCACAGTGGATAGATCTCCGGCCTTGGAGTCAGGAGGACCTGAGTGCAAATCTGGTCTCAGACACTTGACATTTACTAGCTGTGTGACCCTGAGCAAGTGACTTAACCCCAATTGCCTCACCAAAAAGCAAAAACAAAAAAAAAGAAAAGGAAAAAAGGAAAAGAAATTATTCTGAGAATGAGCTCATAGGCTTCACTAAATTGCGAAAGGTATGCATGCATATATATATATGTATATGTATATATGTGTATATATATATGTATATGTATATATGTGTATATATATATATATATGATAGAAAAAAGTTTTAAAAACCCTAATCTAATCTAAACTATTCATTTTATTGAAGAAGAAACTGAGGCCCAGAGAGACGAAGTGATCTTCCCAAGCAAACAAATTATTTGACAAAACTGGGACTAGAAGTAACAAGCTTTTAACTCCAAGTCAAGTTTTGATTCTACTACATCATTTTGCCACCTAGACAGACATATATGTGTGTACATATACATATATGTATATATATGTGCATGAGTATATATTCGTATATATAGGTATACATTTGTATATATAGGTATACACATACATCCCTACCCATATTAGGTAACAGTTTTAGAGCTGGAAGGAACCTCACAGAAGACCTGGTACAATCTTGTCGCTCAACAGATGAGGAAAGTGAGTCCCAATAAGTGAAAGAGACCTGTTCAAAGTTTCATAACTAGTTAGTGGCAGAACCGTGACCAGAACCCAGGTTTTCTGACTCCCAGCCCACCTCTGTGTACATCTGTGACACTATTAATGCTCTATTAAAAGGGAACATCTTTGCAATTTTTTTTCTTCCAAATACTTCTTTCTTCCCATTCACACACATTCCCTGAAAGTCATCTCTATGCCATGAACACACTCTTATAAACTAACACATTTTAGGACATAGCTTTCCCATAAACAACAAAGGATTTAAAGCTGAAAAGCATCATAGAAATGTTCTAATGAAAACCCTCATATTACAAGTTAGGAAATGGAATCCTAGGTTTTGTCCGAGATTAAATAGGCAGCAAAGGAATAAAACCCAAGCTTCTCATTCTAAATCCAGTTATTTTTCTTTTATATTGTCCTTTATCAGTTCTATCTTTCCAATTTCCTCTCCTTTCTGTTGACATAGGCTCCGCCTTGGCCTAAAATCTTATTTGGATCATATGCAAGTTTAATTTACAGAATCACCGAATTCAAGAATTGAAAGCTATCTCAGCATCCATCAATTCCAATCTATACATAAAAGGAATCCCCACTATAACATCCCTGAAAATTGGTTGTCCAGTCTCTGCTTGAGGACCTACAAGAAGGAGGAGTCATTGCTTCTTTTTTTTTAATTTTTTTTAATAGTTTTTTCTTTTTTTTTTTTTGTCCCCTTCCCCCCCTATTTTCCTGTAGGGTAAGACAGATTTCCACACCCAATTGAGTGTGTATGTTATTCCCTGCTTAAGTCAAATCCTATGAGAATAAGATTCACTCATTCCCTCTCACCTTCCCCCATTTCCCCTCCACTGTAAGAGCCTTTTCTTTTCTGTTTTTTTTTTGTGGGATAATTTACCCCATTCTACCTCTCCCTTTCTCCTTCTCCTAGTATATTCCTCTCTCACCCCTTAATTTTATTCTCCAGATATGACCCCTTCATTTTCAACTCACCCTATGCCCTCTATCTATCTAGCTATATCTATATATACACACATATTTTTCCCCTCCAACTACCCTAATACTGACAAAGGTCTCATGAGTTACAAATATCATCTTTCCATGCAGGAATGTAAACAGTTCAACCTTAATAAGTCTCTTATGTTTTTCTCTTTCCTATTTACCTCTTCATGTTCCACTCGAGTCTTGTATTTGAAAATCAAATTTT